AAAAAAAAAAAAAAAAGAAAGAACAGTAAAGAAGAAAAGCGAAAGAAGTAGAAGCAGATAGTAGAAGGAAATTCGCAGCTTCACAGTTTTTCCCAAGCGTCGTATATATTCATTTGTGTTTCAGCTCACTCACTCCCTCTCACTCGGTCTCTCCCTCTCTCTCTCTCTCTCTTAAAGCGGGATTTTTCTCGTTGTCAAAATAAAATTGATAATTTATTGTCATTCAATGGGAGAGTGTGCTGTTTTTTTTTTATTATGTATTTGGAATCTGCTTCTTCTTATACTGCTGCTGTCGTTCATTCCAATAAATTTAAATGCATTTATGGCCCTTACAGCGGAACAAATTCATTTCGAAAATGAATTGTGCATGTTTTTTTTATTCACGTACTCACAGCCCCATTGGCCGCAACAATGTTTTTTCCAATTTTTTTTTTGGCCGACATGCCTTATAAACGAAATTGTTGTTGCGGCATGCAAATCTGGCAAAAACATTGTAAACGCGCGTCTAAAAATTAGACCCAACAGGGATTGGCATAAATTTGCATCAGTCACTATGCGATTTTCATTGGAGCCATGTAAGCCAAAGCCAATGCTTTATGGCCTGACGGCGTGCCCTCAGCCATACAGGTCCATTTACTCTGCCAAAATTGCCAAAATCCAAGGCCCATAAAACTTAATTATGGCAAATGTATGTGGCTCACTACTCCAGCTCAACGAAATTGCCGTTTTTTGTGCCTTTTGAGAGAGGTGGAGAAAAAAGAAAACGCTGAAGCTACGGCTCAGTAAAAAATTAGAAATGATTTGCCTAACTTAAAGTACAAATCGTATTAAATAATTGCCAGCAAATATTTAAGTAAACTAATATGTCCTATAAGTCAAGTTCCTTAATTGCTAACCTGAGTCATGGCTGGGTTAATAGAATTAATTTGGCTAGAACAAAGTGAATGATAGGATGATTTTATTATTTTTTTTATCAACTACTTTACTTAACCGATTTGAATAATGTATCTCGGCTGCTGTTGTCTAGTTACCCAGCAATCCAAGACTCTTTAGTGATTCTGCCTCGAATCGCCTTTGCATAATATGTTTTAATAAAACCCAAAATAAATCTATCGCAATTGATTTGAAGAGCGTGTTGACTGCTTTTAGAAATGCATAAAATTCAAGTAATTCAACAAATCCCATAAGCCACTTTACATGGAAACATAATATCAAATTTTAATGGAAATATTATAATATGCAGTGGGACCCCGAAAAGCGTCGCTCCCATTACTCTCGCTCGCATTCGGCGCGCATGGCTTTCGCTGAGTCTAAATTGACCGTTTTGTGATTTTAATTATATATGATGTTTACTTTGGAACTTATGCAAAATGAAATAAAAGGAGCGACCGCAAACTTATACGGCGCCCAGCAGGCGACAGGCGTAACGGGTCCCAGGCCACAGGCTGACCGCACAGCATGTCCGCAAATAGTTTTGGATACGCCATGTTCCGGGACGAGCACTGGCACTGCCGAAATCTGTGTGTGTGTGTGTGTGCTAGTGTCGTAGTGTGTTGCGTTAAAATTTCAATTTGCAGCATTAAAGCATATTATGGCATAGTAAATGTAGTTATTAAAGCTTAAACTATTCGCCGTTGGCTTATAGGAGCCAACACTTGATACTCTGCCAGAGGGTAATACAATTTGCCATGCAACGTGTTTATATGTTATACTATAGTGTAGTATACTCATAATCTGTAGATATTTCCTCTGCTTGTTTTATTTATTACAAGACAGACCACATCATAATTGTCTCTATATATCTATATGATCGTTCAATGTGTTCTACGGGATTGTGTTAGAGTTTTCTATACTACTATAGTATAATCTAAATATTAATATGAATGCTTCGGCCTTTCTCTTTTTTGTTTTGTTTATTTGGGTTGTTATGCATAGCTTTGGTGTGCGAAAACTCTAGCTCCACATTTTAGGCAAATGGCAAATAGTAATTAAAATTGTTCCATTATTTTCATAAATAAATATTTATTGAGCATGGCCGTTGTGATGCCTTATTACCTAAAAAAAAAAAGATACATAGCTGGCATTTTTCGCTTTAGCTTTGAAGAGAGAGGAAGCAATGGGAATACTGTTTCGACAATTTAAATATAAGAAGCAATCAAAAGAGAGAGAGAAAGAGAGAGAGAGAGAGGAAGAGAGAGAGATATGCGTACGTATATAAAACAATTAATATATGAAGCTTAGATATTTTTAAAATTATTTCATAAGCTGTGAGCTCTTAAAAGCTTTAACTATACATATATTATAAATTATGTTACTAGTTCCTTCAGCGAGATTTGTGGATCTATGGTAATTACAAGAATAAATATAACACCTATAAATTTTAATATATGGCAGAGTAATTAATTAATTTTATAAGAAGAGATTAACTGTAAGAACTTATTTATATTACAACTCACTTGGAAAACGTTCTATAGCTATAACTTTACTCAGTTTTACTTCATAAAGAATATGCAAAATAGTTATTTAAAAATTCTGTTGTGTATATAATTGGTTATTATCCAAGGCGAGTTTCGTGAGAAGCCTGAGCCGCGATTTGATTACCTTGGCTTGCAAGCCGACTACAGACTAATATAATAAAGCAGCTCATCCTATTCTCTTTTTGTGTAAATGCCAACGTAGACAAAATAAAAGAATTCAGATGTCAGTTTTCATTTTGCCTTGTGCATTGCATTCCGGCGAGTTGGAAGCTATTTTCGCTTTGTACAAGTAGTTGCATGTTGTAAATATGATATTTGGAATTTTGAGCTGCTGTCCAAGTTTGTCGCTCCCATGGCATTTGCTACTACGACTACTACTCCTGCTGCTGCTGGTGCTGCTGCTTCTGGGCTTGGTATAATTTCATTTGCGTCTGGTGGCATTTTGTCGCTAACTTTATGTTGAGCAACGTACGTGTGCGGCCAGGATGGCGTCAACAGTTTTATGGTAGATACACCAAGTGGGACAAAGAGAGACAAGGAGTGAAGAGTGAAAGAGAGAAAGATATGGGGAAGTAGAGAGCTAGAGATAAAGAGATGCAGAGAGCTAAATATAGAGAGAGAGAAAGAGAAAAAGTAAAGAAGAGGTAGAGGCGAATTATTTCTCCATATCCTATTCATAAAGATTTTCATATACAAAATAAGTCTTTTATTATTAAAATCTATAAAGAATATTTGTTTTTAAAACAGCCGATTAGCTTTCTCATAATTTTTTAAAATTTACTTTAGAAATAATTATTGAACTTTTTTTAAATTAATTTTTAAAATATTTTAAACTTTCATATTTAAGTTAAAGAAATCTGTATGAGAACTTCTTTTGGAGTATCGCAGATGCCACAGAGTATCTGCTAGTCGTATATTTTGTTGACTTGATTACCTAAGCTTAGTCTCATTTTTGTTTTTGTATGTTTTCTGGTTCTCTCAGAAGTGTGTCTTTGGCTCGGCATTAGATGCGCCAAATGACCAGCCAGAAGAAATTCAATTTATTATGCAGCTTGACTTTTTTCTGACATGCTGGGCGAGATGACAGTGCGCCTGATGCTGTGACAGTTGCTTCGTATAAAGCCTGGAATGGAAAGAGCACACAGTACGCTAATTCCAACAGCTGTCCTTGTTGAAGATTCCGTTTGCTCTTTGCCGCTCCGCACCCCAGTGGGCCCTCTGCCCTCCGCTTGCCCTGTTGCGATTATAGATTTTGGTATGCGATGCGGCAGCTGCGTTTGAATTTCGCGCTGCGCTGCGCTTGAACAGCTTTTAATATTGGAAATGTCCTTGAAAACATTGCAATGACCAGTGCACCGAATCCGACAACATTACTCATACGCAGCGTGTGACACCGTTGCCCGCCTGCCTGCCTGTCTGTCTGCCTGGGTTTCTTGTGCCAACTTCCTCATTGGCATACATTATTCATTTTTCGAGATAAACTCGGTAAGAAATTGCTGACAGCTGCCATAAAAGATATTTAATATCGAACTACGTTTTGTCGCACATTTAAATGGAAATTATATTTGACTTGGCAGCAATTAATTTGAGTTTCAACAACTTAAGAGCTTCAGTGCTTGTCATGTCAACTAAGTAGTTGAGATGGCACGGAATGCCTGCTTGCCTGATGGCCTGCCCTGCTTTCATGGCTGCCTGCTGGCCCGGCTGCTGGTAAATTAAACATAAAGCGCTTTTAGTTAGAATCACGTTCGTCTCAATTAAACTACATTAAATTCAATTAACGAGCAGCAGGAGGCAGCTGCGCAAAATATAAGCAACACTCCCATTACGGTTAGAGGCGAGGGTTCGCCCTGTTGTGCCAAAGATCTTTGTGTGCGAACGACCTGACCTACTATAACTGGCAATAGAGCCAGTGACATTGTCTTTCTCGGCCGGGTCTACGTCGTCTACGTTACAATTGACTTTCATTACTTCTTACAATCATGTTGCATTATTGAGCGTTGTCACATTGGACAGGCCCGTTGAGATGAGAGAACGAGTCGACGAGTCGACGACTCGATGACTCAACAATCCCAAGACTGCGTGCTGCACGACGCGTTAGTTCGTTCGTGTAATTAAGTTTAATATTTAATTTAATTGCATATTGTAGACATACAGTTACAACAACTACAACAACTACAGCAACTACAACAGAGCAA